GGAGTCCAGCAACATAGCCATTACGCTAACTGCTGGCCCCCGTGATTTTTTATTTTTTTGAGAAAGATTTTTTTGCTATTGGGCACATGCACTTGTCAGAGAGACAGAAAGAGACACAGAGAGACAGAAAGCCAGAAATCACCCCCCAGGGGGAATAGCCACATCACAATCCCTTCTCTTCTAGTCACCTCTCAGGATTTTGGGCATGCACATACATGTACCCCGTGTGACTTTTAAGCCACCAAGTCCATGACTCGAACTATGGTCAACGACGTAGGAGTCCAGCGACATAGCCATTACGCCATCTGCTGGTTACCACAGTGCGAGTTTGACACAAGATGCCACAAACAACAGTGGAGCTACGGTGTAAGGGCAGGAAACTTATCTGACTTCAACTCTGATACACAGCGGGCGCTCAGAGATATGTCACTGTGAGCATGGGGGACAGTTATCTTCCTGGGGTAACAAGTTGTTTTATTTATTTATTTTGTTTGCTTAGGTTTTTGCTATAGGGCACATGCGCTCACCAGACAGAGAGAGACAGAGAGACAGAAAGCAAGAAATCACCCCCCGGGGGCATGGCCACACTGCAATCCCTTCTCCTCCGTTCTCTTGGGATCTTGGGCACGCACGCACACGCGCCCACCATGAGTTTAAGCCACCGGGTCCAGGACTTGAACCACGGTCAACTACATGGGAGTCCAACAACATAGCCATTATGCCCACTGCTGGACCCGGGATAACAAGTCTTACAATAAACCTGTAACAGTGAAAACATCATGGCTCTGGGCTAAGAGGTACAGATAACTTACAGATATTGGAGGATGGCGGGGCCAGCAGGTGGCATGGTGGTTAAGGTGCTGAACCCCCACACGGCCGACCTCGGGCAAGTCCCAGACCCACCTTACTTTCTCAGTCTCGCTCTCTCTCTCTAGTGAGTGCATGTGTCATATAGCAAATTTAAAAAAGAAATAATAATAAATAAATAAATTATTATTTTAAAAGAAATACAGGAGGGAAAATTTGAGGGCAGCCACTCTATCTGCTACTATTACGTACGGAATACCTAGAATGGTGCCTGGCAGGGCTAGGTGCTGAGTAAGGATTATTTATGATCAGAATATAGGAGGAGACTTGTCCTACAGGTACAGTGTGTGATAAAGCGCGGGCCATTAAAGGGCATGTTCTAGAATAAGAACTTGGAAGAGCTCATGAGTGTTGGAGAGGCTATAGGAGCCAGCGCTTATCTGTCTCGGGCTCCACCGTAAGCACACCATCTAGAACACCATCGATTCACTCTAGGCAACTGGCAGAGGCTTGCTCTGCCAGGTAGGAAACATTCCCTAGAGCTGGAGTAATTAACAGGTGTGGTGTCGAGCACACGAAGCCAGGGAGAGCTCACGCTGCATCTTGCCCAGGGCCTGCCAAATGCACAGGATGGTGTCTGGTGCAAAGCCCCATGGCACGACTACACGCCAGCGGCACCTGGCATGAATGGGCTGGGCCCAGCTGGTGGCACAGGCACTGGCATATTGGACTGCAGAGCTGGAAGCCACCTGCCAACTGTGGTTTGAGTCCCCAGTGTGAAAACAAAAAGATTCTGCTGGACTGGAAAATGGAAAATCACTGTGTGATTAAGCCCTGTAGAAAGTGTCTATCGGTCTTTCTCCCTTACCTGTACATGTGCTGAATCATGAATTTGAAAACTATATTAAAAAAGAAACAACAAATGAAGGCCCAGCGGGAGGTATGATGGTTAAGGCACTGGACTCCCATATGGCCAACCATGGTTTGAGTCCCAGACCCAGAGGCTTGACAAATCATGCCAGGTTCATGTGCCTGCATGCCCAAAATCCTGAGAAGAGAATGGAGGAGAAGGGATTGAAGCATGGCCATCCCCCATGGGGGGTGATTTCTCGCTTTCCTTCTCTTTGTCTCTCTCTCTCTCTCTCTCCGGCAAGTACATGTGCCCTACAGCAAAAAATCTCTATAAGCAAAACAAAACAGAAAAAAAAAAAAGAAAAGAAGTCATGTTAAAAACCAAAGAAACAACAGAAAAATGAAAGCTGGGCCAGCAGGTGGCATGGTGGTGAAGGTGCTGGACTCCCAGGTGGCAGACCTGGGTTTCAGTCCTGGCTGGTAACTTGAAACTCGTGACAGGCATCTGTGCACGCATGCCCCAAATCCCAGGAGGAGAATGGAGGAGGGACTGTGGTGTGGCCATCCTCCCTGGGATGATTTCTCACTGTCCCTCTCACTGTCTCTCTCTTTCTCTCAAGATTACATGTGCCCTATGGCAAAAACCTAAAAAGACAAAACTAAAAGGGCAGGTCTAGCCCATTCCAATGGCAGAAGGTGGGCACACAGGCCTCTTCAGATTCCTGGCCCTCCCTTAAAAGCGCCCAGGGAACATCTGTGGTTCTAGTTTCTCCAGAGGCTGAGGCAGGAGGACCCTGAGAGCCAGATGCTGTCTAAAACACCACACCCACAAACACACACACACACACACACACACACACACACACGCGTGCGCACACACGAACACAAACCCCAAATGGATGGGTGCATGAATACTTCCCATCTGCCCAAGGCAGGGTACAGATGGGTCCCTGGAGGTACACGAGGTGACAAGCCTCGAGGCTGCTGGACGGCAGAAACCACGACTCCCGCCCTCCATCGGCCCACGCTCCGTGCCCCGACCCGGGCGGCCGCGGAGCCGGCGGGGCCCCACCTGTGCTGGTAGTCGGAGCCGGCCTTGGCGGAGCCGTCCTCTGTGCGGTAGTCCACGTAGAAGGTGCTGTTGCCCTCGCCGCCCTGGCAGGTGACCGACAGCAGCACCGAGCCACAGTTCTCCAGGCAGTGGTAGAGGCTGGGCTCGAAGAAGATGCGGCTGGCGCCGTCATCCTCGTCCTCGCCGGGGCCGTCGGCCGGGGTGGCCCT